ACTTTTTACAAAACACTTTTATCAAGAAAATTTGTAAAGCTCATAACTTAGCTATATAGATATTATAAAAACAAAACAGTAAGTAATTATATTTTAACCAAGATATTAATTAAAGATCCTCTTGGCTTTATGTTAATTATAATCAAAATCTTTTATATAATATTACTAACTTTAGTCTCAATCAATTAAAATTTTTTAAAACAAAAAATCTTTTTAATAAGTTGTCAATATACTTATTATATTATACTATTTATTCAAACTAATATTCAGATACTACTTGCTTTTATTGTAACTTATCTAATTTCTACTTCTATTAGTATATTTGTACTAATTTATCTTTATTTAACTAAGTTATTTAAATCTTTATTAATTAAATTATTTTTAATAACTTATCTGATTATAATATTTATTAAAATATAACTTAATAATTTTTTTTTTTTTTTAATATTAAAGTCCTTATTTTTAAGATGTAATATTTTTATTCAAGTATATAGAACATGGAATACTATCAGAGACTACCTTACATTAGAGGTTACAACTAGCTATACATACACTTTTAGTGTCTAATTTAAGTAGTTCATTTATATATTACTATATAAGTTCTATACCAAATGTTATACCTGCAAGCCAACTAAGAGTTTTGCCTATTTAAACCATCTGTATATGCAATCTTTCTTGTATTACAGAAACATTTTCAAGGCTATACTTATACAAGTTTTTGATGCTAGTTGGTACTCTTAGAACTATTTTATTCTTAACAGAAAATTTATTAAAGTCTATATGTTCTATATATACTGATCTAGTTTTATATAACATATTATAGTTACCTAATACTTGCAGTTACAAAAGTTATCTGTTTAACTATTATATTATACTATTTCTATCCTTATACAATTTACTAAAATCCTAGTACCTATCTTCTTGACATCTTCTTTATCATTTCTTATTAGCTGCAACTTAGAACTATTAATCTCATTTTAGACTACTAATTCAAATAGTCTGATATAGTATATTTTTGTATTTTTTTCTTTTGGCAAGTTTAGCAGTCTGGTTGATTATATGCTTCTCTATATATATTTGTCATCTAGTTTTAATCTTCAGTTTCTATAAAGGTATTTTGTAGGCTTCAACTGATCTGATAGTATTATTGAAAGTTTATGTTATTTTTTTACTCAGAAATTTTCAAGTAAGTTTATGTTATCTTAGTTTCTTAGTCTTCTATGCCTGGTGGTCTTATCATAAGTTTGTACTGAAGTCTTATACAATACTGGTTATACAGTTTTCTATGTAATGTAATATTATACTTTATATAGATATTCTGAGCTTTTAATATCAATAGAACTCAACTTGGTATACTTAGATTATAGCTATATAAGATTAACTGATTGACAGATAACAGTTATTATAATGTAAATATAATTTCCAAATTTTATTATAGATAGGATTTGAATCTTAAACCTGTCATTTGAAGAATAACAATCCAACTACTATACTAGGATTACTATTTTTATTAATAAAATTTTTTATTATTTAGCTCTTAATTTTTTATATACATTATCTAATATATTTTATTTTAATCTTATTCTTAAAGAACTTATTCCAAAGTTTCTTATATCAACAATTTAAAAATTTTAACATCTTATACAAAACTACTTTTTATGTTATTATTAATATTTTTCTTAATATATATTAATAAATACTTATATGAACAATTATAGAAAATATATTGTATTCATTTTTTAATTAAAAAAAACAATAAAATAAACCTTAATCTTAACTAATTAAACAGCCTTTAAGATTATTTAATTTAAATTTTTTTTTTTTAATATTAAAATAATTTTTTTGATCTTTTGACTTTTATTAACAACTTATTAGTAATGTAATTTTATGAACCACTATAGGAGAAAGTACAATTAGCTATATATGTAACTTTTCTATATTACTTATTTAAGAAGTCTGCCTGAAGATTTTCTACTAATTGCCATATCTAACACTCTTGCTTGAATGTTCTACTTTAAATTCTTTAAACCTATAATTTGTATTAACTCACTGGGTTATATCCAAATGTTCAGATTATTATTTCAACTTTAAAACTAATTTATTCTCAAAATAAACTCTCTAGAGCCTTCTGTACTTATTTTTATAACTGACTTAGGTATTGCTATAGCAGAACTAATACTTGTAGTCAAAATTATATTATTTAATTACTGTATTTTTATAGAGTTTACACAGACTTTAGCATTTATTTTATAACATAATCCTAGTATTTTAGTATATACTTTTTTATTAAACTCTTAATTCAAATAGCCTATATAAGACTATAACCAGTTCATCAATATATTAGATTGACCTAATATTTTTTTTTTTTTGATTTATTCTAGTAACCTGGTTGGTAATACCTTCAAGACTTCTAACTTAGAAATTTTTACTCATCTGAATACTATAATCAGATACTATGATTTTGATATTCATTTCTCTGAGTTAGTCTTTATAATAGAGCTATTAAAGATCTAACTACCTTTTTACTTAGGTCTTTTCAAATAGACTTCTTGTTATCTAATTTTAATAAATTTATACAGTCATAAGAACTTATTTAGTATTTATATTATCTGATTTGTCAGTTTACATTTCTTTGTATAATAAGTTATACAAATGCCTCATGCCCTGCTAGTTATGTTAATGTAATCATTATTACAGATATTTTAATCCAATTGTTAGTAACAGTTGTCATAATATGAATATTATATAAGTAATTATCTAAATTTTTATTGTTGATAGAAATTGAATACCCAACCTATTATTTGAAAGGTTAACAACCTAACTACTTTACTAGGTTGTTACACCTCTATTTAATTTAACTACAAAATACATATATCTTTAAAGAGATTACATTTATTTATGTCTTTGTAGACTTTTTGATCAATTATATTCTTGTTTAAACACATGTTTTTCTATCAGTCAAATAATTTACAAAATTAACATTTAGTTTATTTTATAGATTAAATATAATATATCATCAAATTATATACTAAATATTCAAATCTAAGTGAGCTTTGACTATTCTAATAGGTATAAGTTAAAATAATTTAGTCTAAGCTTTTATTCTTGCATTTTATTTATTTTGTACAAATAGTAGTAACTATATAGTTAACAGTTTAATGATTAGCCTTAACTACAAATATTGATTTTAATCATAACTTATATATATGTAACTATTTTAAATTATTAATAAAGATATAAGCAAAACCTTACTTTAATACCAAAAAAAAAACAATTAAACTTTTTATAATACTGAATTATTTATTTATATAATATAAAAAAATGTATTGTATAGATATATAACACCTAATTCTAAATACAATACAGTACATTTAAAAAGAAAATACAGCACAAAATATCTACAATTCGCATATATATCAGCTAATCAAATCGCTAAATACGTACTGTACATACTATACACGAAAAAAAATTTCGAATATCATATAAATGACACATCACTAGACATTTGGCGATAGAATTACTGAATATGCACTTTACCATGTAATAGAATTAATTACGGCATAGTACGTATCTAATTGTTGTGCTGTCCTGTATTACGGCATTACCATTATGGCTTAAAAAAATATGACAAATTACCAAATTAACGTTAAGGGGTCATTTAAAGCCAGGTGCGTTGGTATAAATTTGGAAATAGCCTACATTTTGCATAATTACTTTCTTGATATCTATATAAACTATTAACCCAAATTGCATCAAAAAAGTAAATATAACTACACCTTGCTTTAATCATCCCCAAATTAATTCTAACCAGGATCGCCAACAAAAATATTTTCGATCACGTGAAATTATCCAATAACAAATTACGCCTTGGTAGATCTAAAACAACATTCGTTTTCAAAAATTATCTTCTAACTCAAATATTTGCTCAATAATCGCCTTTCATGCTCTAACAAAAAAAGTTCCCTGGGTGATTTTACTATATATCAACCTTTTCCTAACCTTAAATCTAACTCAAACCCTAACATAAACGAACTCTAAAGAATTTTGTCGTATCATGTGACCGAAAAAATTGTGGAGAAGTGATTCTACTACCAACTATATATGTGATGTATGGTGGCGCTGATCATTGAAGGACAAATAAATTTTTAGGATCATATATAATGTAGAGACAATTCACTCACCATAAAACAATGCACTTCGTTGTACTCTGTTCATGGTATAACCAAAAACTTGCATTTTTTTTTTTTTATAGAAATCATGCGATGTATACGATAGTCAAAACAGGAATCAAACAATTAGAAAACAAGGTATTCATCATATTACTTCCTTTTTTAGCTTTATTTGGGGTGCTACACAAAGTCACAAGGGCATTTAACTCACATATAAACTATACGTTGTACAAACTCCGTCCTGATATTTATGTAATCGAGATTTCAAACCTTTGTCGCGTACACTATGAGTATTTTATTGGCTTCACTAAGTGCACTGTATTAGAAATCTTACCCACATCATTTATAACTGAGGTACATTCTATTATGTCACAGAAAATACAAAACAATATAAATTGTAAACCACATCTTTGCTTTGAAGAATCATTTTAGTTCATCTATACGAAACATTTATGATTACTTCAAAAAGAAAAATGCTTTCAACTAATGTCTTCAAAGTTACATTATATATATTCTTAATACTGAGATAATCAATTTTAATCAAGATTTTATATTGTTTATTGAAAGTTAGACTGTTTAAATCAACTCTTCTTCCAATCAAAACTTTCTATTTCAATTACATATTACATTTTACAGTTAAAGGTATAATGTTTTTGTTATTATTAGATGATACAGAATCAGAACTTACAAACATACTAATCGTTATATTTTATTTACAAAAAACTTCTATCTTTTTGACATTCACTCAACTACGCTACGTAATTTTGGCGAATGCAAATATATTATTTACCTTTTACTTTGACTGGATAGTCATATGCACATTCTGTGAAAATGATAAAATCATCACAATACTCAGGAATTGTGCAAGTTGATGCAAAAGCAACAAGATATTCGAATGGTCTTAATGTATGGCACATGGAAGTTGCTGGTTTCTCTGATAATGCTAGTGATGATGATATTGTTAATGATACAAGAAAGGCATTTCACACAGACCTCTTGAATTTAATAATGATACTGCGGAATCACCTAGATTGTGATGTAAACGTTGCATCTAAAGTAAAGGTGTTCAGCACCCAGGCAATCAGTAAGTGTATTATACATGCAGTATATATATTTTTTTGATTGCAGAAGCTCAATATTAATGACACTATTTTATCTTTTTATGCATTAAATATGCATCCTAATGGTCGTTTTCTTTTGTCTCTATTGTTATCCCAATAATTAGTTGGAAGAAGTACAAACAAAAAAGACCTCATTTAGTCATCTGACGGTGAACTTCCTGTTTGTAAAGGTAGGCTACTAAGTTTTGTTTAGTCATCAGACAGCGAACTGGTGGAAGTTTGCATCATATGATACTTTAACAATATATATATGTATTTTAATATTATTATTTATTTACCACTTTAGCCAAATTACGAAGTTTAGAGCTCAAACCATATTTCTTTTAGACTGTTTATGATTTACTCACACGTTCATGCCGGTTCATCTGAACGGTGAACGATGCTGGAAGTGCGACAGGAGATAATCACTTAGTCATCTGACGGTGACCTCCTTGACGTAATCTTGCCTACTAGTTTAACCATCTGGTGGATTAGTTTGCAAAAGTACAAGCAGAAAGACCTCATTTAGTCATCTGACGGTGAACTTTCTGCTTGTAAAGGTAGGCCACTAAGTT